CGGTTGCAGGACTCAGGAAACTAAGGCAACGCGATCACGGTGAGTTCAAGGATGGCCTAAACTTACAGAGAAGAAGGATTTAAAATAAACAACTTTCTAACTAAGTAGCTAAAAAGAAGGGCTGTGTGTGGTGGCACACATCTGTAATCCTAGCACTGGAGGCTGAGGCAGGAGGACTGCCATGCTTTTGAGGCCAGCTTAAACTAAATAGTGGATCCCTATCTCAGAAAGACACTTCACCCCAAAAAACTAACTAAAAAGAGAACAATAAGCAAAACCAAAAATATCAAAAGGAAGGAAACTATAAAGATTAAAAATAGACCATACAAAACAATAAAAAATGGTCTACAAATTGGGAATTGATTTTTCTAAAATGTAATCAAAACCTTTATACTAAGATAAAAGCAAGAAGACTCAAATTACTAAAACCAGAAAGAAAAGCGTGGTAACTGATACTGCAGAAAACAGAAGAATCAAAAGAAACTAAGTTGAACAATGCTTGCCAACAGAGGGGAAATCCATCACTTCAATTGCTGGAAAGACTGAGCCATAAGGAAATAGAGGTCTAAGCAGATTTATAATAAACAAGTAGACTGAATCAGTAATCGAAAACCTCCCACCAAGCAGGAATGGTGGTGCACACCTCTATCCCCAGCTCCCGTGGGCAGCTGAGGCAAGAAGATTGCCAGTTTGCCTCCAGCCTGAGCAACTCAGCAAGATTTTGTTTCAAAATAAAATGGACTGGAGCTGCAGCTCAGTGCAAAGACCCTGGGTTCAATTCCCAACACAGAAAGAAAGAGGAAAGGGAGCGGGGGAGAGACACAGAGAGACAGAGACATAGAGAGACAGAGAAAGGGAGAGAATCTTTGAAAGAGAAGCCCAGGATCAGATGGTGTTGCAGACACGTTACCAAATATTTAAAGAATTTTTGCCAGTTCTTATAAACTGTTCCAGGAAATGGAACACAAAAACACTTCCAAATTCATGTCATGAGGCCAATATTAGGCTGATAAAAAAAAAATCCACACATATATCATGAAAAGACAACACTTCATGCCAATATCTCTGAGGAAAATAGAGGTAAGACTCCACAATGAAAGATTAGCAGCAAAAATACCATCCATGACAACTGAATGGGATTTGTTTCTGGGACACAAAGATGGTTGAACATATGAAAATCAATTAATGAGGGGCTGGGGAGATGGCTCAGTGGAATAAGTGCTTCCCTGGCAAGCGCAAGAGCCTGAGTTCAATCCCCGGTTCCGCAAAAAAAAAAAAAAAAAGAAAAGAAAAAAAAAGAAAATCAATTAATGTATTACACTTCATTCGCAGTATGGAGAGTAAAACTCGTAAGCATCTTAC